TTGGTTTAATTAAAAAAAAAACTTTACATAATTTTAAAGTAATTAAAGAGTAAAGCTTAAAATTGGCTTTTGTGTTTCTTCTCCAACAGACAGCTGGAAATGATCCGTATTGTTTTGTGGAGTTTCATGAGCATCGTCACGCAGCTGCAGCACTAGCTGCTATGAATGGACGGAAGATAATGGGTAAGGTAAGCTGCCATAATTAAAGAAGGTGACTTGCATTGAAGAAGTTTAAGTTACATATGATTCTGTTTCCTTTTTAGAATATTTATATTCATATTATAGTAAAATGTCAGTCACATTTAATATTGGAAAGGTGAGATAAAGCTTTTAGAGGCAGAGGCCTGTGTTTATGTTAGTTTTCCCCATGGTAAAAACTAAAGTATTTTAATTACTCAAGCTTGAATGAAATATCTAGGAATAATGGGTGCTACTAGAGAAGAATAAAAGGGGGGAAATTATTGGTGCTTTAGGAAGGAAAGATTAATTGACTATTAACAGAGACATATATAAAGATTAGGATTTCTTGGGGCCAGCAAGTAGTGTGGAGGTTAAGGTGCCAGATCCCACATGGCCAGCTTCACAGTTCGAGTTCCAGACCTAGTGTCACTGACATGTGTGCATGCGTGTCCAAAATCCTGAGAGGAGAATGGCGAATAAGGGATTGCAATATGGCTATTTCCCATTGGATGATTTCTCACTTTTCCTTTCTCTGTCTCTGGCAAACACCTTATACAAAAACTTTTTTAAAAAGCAGGGGTCAGGGGTGTTGGGGGAGCAGCACATGGTGTAGCGGTTATGTGGATTCCTGCATGGCTGACCACAGTTGGGATCCCAGACCCAGTGGTTTGAAACTCAGAGCAGGCTTGTATGCATGCCTGAGATGCCAGCAGAAGAAGGGAAGAGAGTGGATTGCAGTGTGGCCATCCCCCATGGGGATTGATTTCTCACTTTCCCTCTCACTGGCTCTGGCTCTGGCTCTGGCCATGAGCTCTAAGGCAAAAACCTCTTAAAAGAAAATAAAAGTTAGGATTTGTCAACATCATTGTTTGCTCCGGTGTATTAAAACTTTGACCAGAACTAGTGTCCTCTTGATTGTTTCATCTCAAGAATTCCTGTGTGTTTATAAATACATACCTGATTTTGGGCTTTATTTTTTGGAGTATAAATGTAGAAAAAAATTTTTTTTTAGGAAGTCAAAGTGAATTGGGCTACAACCCCCAGCAGTCAAAAGAAAGATACAAGCAGTAAGTATATTTTATAGTCTTTGAACGTTTGTTTTTATTATACTTAGTAGTTTTATTGTAAAGCATATAAACATACTTGTTTGCAGTAATGTTTTGATCGTTATCCTAAGATATGATTTAATATGTTTGTGTTAATAAATTTAAGAACAAATCTAATCTTTGTCATCAGGTAGTACCGTTGTCAGCACACAGCGTTCACAAGGTAATTGTATCTTCTTAAACATAAAATGAAATCTCTTGGAAAGGGTATTCACTAACCACCTGAAGTTTTTTTGTTGATATTGGGGGGAGGGGGAGGGGGGAGTTAGTATTTCTATTTGTCTCTGGAAATATTTTCCCCCTTCTTCCCAGTGTTGACAAAGTGTCACTCATCCACTACTTTGTTACTAGTTCAAGCTCCTCTGACCCCCTTGGCAACAGTCAATGCCTTAGAAATACTTAGAACCACCTAAAGGGCAAGACACCCTGCTTCCTTGAGGTTACCATCAGGGGTTCATACCCAGATCTTCGAATTGCTTTAATTGCTCCTGAAACTGTTTTCCAAAGAGCAACCCAGTACATTGCTAAGTCCAACCAAATAGGGGTAACTTTTCTTTTAAAATATACTTTGTCAGAATTGATGTAATTTGTCCATTTTATAGTGTTGGTCTAATAATTTTGCATTTTTAAAAGTGTTTTTGTTTTTTGAGAATTATCTTTTTATTTTTTTTAAACTTCAGATATGGGATGATTATTTCTTTCCAGTGCTTTTTTAATGGTTCTGATATAAAGTGAAGGGATTACTGTTTTCATTCTGTTGCCTTCAGTCTTAGTTCACTTGCACATGGATTCACATAAACTGAATGGTGTAATGTCTGGGCAACCAAAACTGTTGGCTTTTGAGAAAACTGTCAAATACTTTAACATCAAACTGTTGCAATGCAAGGTATTTCTTTGATTGTTCTTCACAAAATATGGTTAAACCAAGTATATCATGTATCTAGCTTCAGTAAATTGTCTTAACTGAGGCAACTCTAGTCTACATAATTCACAAGACCACTATTTTATTTTAATTTGTATAGCCTTAATATAGTGGTAACCTGAATAAAAGTAAATAATTGCTGTTAGAACAGTAACTAAGTTATTAATTATTTTGCAGAACTGAAACTTGCTATATATTATTTGCTTTTTTTTAGACCAGTATATAATTGACTGCAAATAGAAATATACCTGTCAGTTTCCAGTTAGATATATCAGTCTTTTTAAAGGAGAATTTGCCTGAATTGTTACTTTGATTCATTATATTTAAAATTGATAGGCTTTGTATAGATATAGGATAGTGTTTTATTTATATACTTCATTATAGCACGTAAGTCATTTTAAGAATACTTTAATAGAATTTAATATTTTTTAAATTCTAAAGTTCTATTTTTCTTTTCACTTCCCCTTCCATCTCCTTGTAAGATCATTTCCATGTCTTTGTTGGTGATCTCAGCCCAGAAATTACAACTGAAGATATAAAAGCTGCTTTTGCACCATTTGGAAGAATATCGTAAGTAACAGAAGATAAATAAATGCTTCTTATTAGAAATAATCATATGGAGAAGTCATTTGAAAACAATTCTATTGAGAATTTTGTACATAAATTTTAACACTTGAATGTCATGTTATTATATTGTATAGAGCTTATTCAAGAAGTTACCAGCATAGATTGTTTTCCCATAGTCGCTTATATATTTGGTCTTCAATTATCTTAACAATTACTTT